TCATGAAAAATAAAAAAAGAGACTAAAAATATAGCAAAAAACTTGTTTGAAAAATAGTAGCAAAAATCATAAAAGAGATAAATAATATTATGAGTCGTTTGCATTTATGAATGAATCGCATTGAACTTCATTTATAGATCCATCAGTTTTGTTATCAATTTTTTAGTCAAAACTATATTTTGACGCAAAATGATATTCATTGCACTCAATAAATGTCTTGAGAAAAAAGGCTATAAATGGTATATACGTTGAAAGTGTTTGAACCGTTTGTTAGTTACCGCTTACTTTTTTAAAAGATTCACCCCATACTTCCATACCATCCCAATCATCCCTATGCCCACCCCATCACTTTAAAAAGTGGCTCATTTTAAAGGACAAAATCATTATTTTAGTGATAGCTTCCAGCTATATAGTGCTGAATCTCTCTCTCTCTCTCTCTCTCTCTCTCTCTCTCTCTCTCTTTCTAAAAAATAAGTTAAAATGCAATGCAAAGCGTGCTGAGCGTCGGCCCACAAAACCTACAATCAGTAGGACTGTTGCCATAACTTTCCCACGACTTTTCAATATGAGTTTATAACCGCTACCTAATAGTTAGTATTCCTTTAAATTATCACCTTTTTTGCGACCAAACTCCAAGACCTGTACTCTTAAGTCTAACAGTGTGTGTAAGTGTATGGAGTCAAGTGTTGGTGATTTCGGGTACACACACATACATACACATACATACATACATACATACATACATACATACATACATACATACATACATACATACATACATACATACATACATACATACATACATACATACATACATACATACATACATACATACATACATACATACATACATACCATACATACAYACATACATACATACATACATACATACATACATACATACATACATACATACATACATACATACATACATACATACATACATACATACATACATACATACATACATACATACATACACACATACATACATACATACATACATACATACATACACACACACACACACACACACACACACACACACACACACACACACACACACACACACACACACACACACTGTCTGGTAATACCGGAGCCGATATCACGAAATCCAATTTTGAGATTCTGTCAAATAAACGTATCATTTGGCAGATAATTCACTGCTTTTTTGTAATTGAGTCTCATCTCTGATATTTGTCACCGAAAACACATTTCTTAATATAAGGTATTATTGCTATATATTTTAAGTGAGAAACACTTATAAAAATAATAACTAATATCTATTGACTATTACTGAATGCATGGCTGAAAAATTTGCCGCTCAAGAGATCAAAGATTATTATTTTTGTAAAATTCACTGCTTTTACTTCAATTTTCTGCTCTCTCTCTCTCTCTCTCTCTCTCTCTCACTAAACGTAAAAAAACGAGTGAGTGAGTGAGTATATAAAAATGAAAGAGAGAAAGAGAGTGATAGACTAATAGGAGACCAAAACTATAAAATTACTGCATATCTTACAAACAATAATATAAAAAATTATTTGTTGTGACGACTGCTTCCGAATAAGTCTCTTATTATATGAATGGATGGGATGGCAGTAGGACTGGGATCCAGTAGATTGAAAGCACACACATATGAGAGCCAGAGGTCAACGTTTTTCCATCAAAGAGCTACTGTTTTTATATATTTATACAAAATAACTATTTATATTATACCATATGATTATCGGTAAAAATTTAGTAAAAAGAAAAATCTTTTTTCTTAACCATTCATTAATATTTTATTTAACAGCAATTTTAGATTTTTCATATATTTTACTCAATTATATTATTATTGATTGAGGAATTGGTTGGATGTGTATGTGTGGGAAAGGGTCAGTTGTCTCCGCCCTAAAACAACACCAAATTTGATTAATTTTTTATTCATTCACTGCCTTTTTGTGTATAGTTTTATACCTCTTTTGTGTTTATTATTTTAGTGAAAGAGTTTTTCCATTTTCTAATTATTTATGGTTTAACTCCTCAAAAGCCTCCCTTCCCTGAGTCTTCTMTATCCCTCTCATATGTATTTTCAATGCATTTGTCTTTTAACCTAACCGTTCACTGGTATCGAAGCCAAAGGTAAAGTAATTTTTAAAAAATTAAATTGCTTTGCCTTTTCATCGTTTCATTGATTGACTTTGAATTATTATTTTTTAAAAGTTATTAAGTTTTCATTATATTTTCACATATAGTTTATAAAATAAATTATTTTTTTATACTAATACCATAAATTGAAAGGTTTATAAAACATTTATAGAATTTAATTTTTCTGTCTTTCAAAAAAAATATTTAATATCAATCACTRAATTTAATCAATAATCTAAAGGCAAAAATGTATTTAATGCTATTTCAAACACTATAATAATATTTGAAATTTATTTTAGGTCACAATTTAATTTTTTATAATTAATAGTTTTCATTGAATATAATTTCTTATTTATTTAACTATTTTTATTGTTATTATTATTATTATTAAATCTATTTTATTGTCTATTAAATTCATTGCACAGTAGACTTAACGCTAAATACTTTTATTTTGTAATAAATTAATTATTTAAATAATAGAAGAATAATATAATAATAAAGTAAAATATTTTAATTATGAATAAAATAAAATTGAACTTTTATTATTAAAGTTGCTTATTATTTAAATTATAATTTAAAAATCATTAATCATTGCCTATATTTTACTGTCAGACGAGTTAAGAGAGGGTGAGAGAAATTATCGGTTCACGAGAGAGAGAGAGAGAGAGAGAGAGAGAGAGAGAGAGAGAGAGAGAGAGAGAGAGAGAGAGAGAGAGAGAGAGAGAGAGAGCACTCTCGCAAAAATATAGTAAACGATTTGTAGATATAATTATTTAATTTATTTACTTCATAGTTATTATGATTATTATTATGATAAGTGTATGTGTTTTAGAGAGAAAAAAAAGGCAACACATAATTAATAAAACACTACTCTGTTTAAAACAAATAATAATAATAAAAACAAAATTARAGTCTAACACAACAAAAAATATAATAATAATATATTAWATAAATCTTAGTCTAAATGTTAGAACAAATGAGTCGCTTGAATGATAAAAACTCAATGAATAGATATTTTTATTTTTCAAACGAGTTTATAATCGTTAGATTAATCATCAATCGGTTTAACTATTAAATATTTTTTTGTCATTTTTGTCGGTGTCGTTGTTATCGTTTGTTGTATTGATAAACATATGTCTCTCTCTCTCTCTCTCTCTCTCTCTCTCTCTCTCTCTCTCTCTCTCTCTCTCTCTCTCTCTCTCTCTCTCTCTCTCTCTCTCTCTCTCTCTCTCTCTCTCTAATATATTAGTCAGCACTGGTATGTCATTGTTTCAGTCAATTGTGACAATTGATAGTATCGTTTAGTTCGGGTTGACTGTCGCTCTCATTTTATACTACAATATGTATACTTAATTTTTATATACAGATTATATATATATACTCTGATAACATACTCTCAAATTGTGCCCAAATGGTTGTGCACGCAATCCACTCACTTTCATTTCGCATCATTTAATATTAAATATACAATACTGTACTGTAAATGCAATGTAGGCTTTTTAAAGTCAACTATAGTTGTATTTGTATTATGTATTAGCTTTTTTAAAGATATAAATATTTTAATTTTCACGGTCATGTATTAAATATATGTTTATACATCTATTTATATAATAGTTAGTATAAAGAAAGTTATTATGTTAATAATCAATCTACAGGTAAATGTTTTTATAGTGTACATCGTTTGTATCACTATTATATACAAGTATTTAAGATCTCATTTTCTCAAAACACTAAATACACACTTGTTTTGTTGTATTGCATTTTCAGTCAACTATAAAATTATTTAACTTWAAAAAACAGTCAACGAGTAATATTGAAAAAATAGTTATAATATATACAGTATAACAATGAYATTATAGGTCGYAATATTTATTTTAAAYAACAAATTACAAACTGAGAGACAATCAATTTGCTGAAGATTTTGACAAAGGCTTTATAATAATGACAAAGCAATGAATGAAAGAAAAATATTTTAAATAAAAGGTTTGAATCAAAATGAATAAAGTATTATCATTACTATTATTATTATTTAGTAAATGTGGTACTAAATTACAATGATATTTATTAATACAGTATGTAGTTAACTATTTATGTTTATAMTTGTATTCTCTCTCTCTCTCTCTCTCTCTCTCTCTCTCTCTCTCTTTCCCTCCCTTTTCGTTATTCTCACCAAACTAAACATATTAACAATTATTTCTCAATTAAATGTGTAATAAATTGTGGTCAATGCCTGAATGTCGGCACGAAATGTGTGCAAACAATAGAAAGAGGGAGAGATAGAGAGGATTTTTGGATATATTTAAACACAAAATATTAATACTAATAATATAATGAATATAATAGTTGTCGGATACAACAACAACAACAACTTAAACGATATTTATATTCTAATAAAACTAAAAGTTTATATATTTACGAGAAAATAAGTGAGAAATAACATTAAATAATAAATATTTTTATTGTATTATTTTGGAAACTAAGCCAATAATAAACTATTTTTTCAACAAACTTTTTTTATATAGACAGACGGTTTATTCTAATATTAATAATAATATAATAATAATGCTTTAGCTAATAGTGACAACAATTTTTTAAATTAAATTTTCAGGTAATGTTTCCGTTTATAACGATGGGTAGCCATGTGTTAAAATGACAAATAATGAACATTTTATTATCAATATTTCAATTCAAGGACATACACCAATTATAAGCAATTTAAATACAGTATATATGGTACATGGTTTGCTAATTTTACTAATAATGTAATCATAATGTGTTATCAAATCAAAATGATAATATTAATAATAATAAAAAAATAATAATAATAATAATAAAATAATGATCAAATGATTTTAAAAATCAAAAACCCATTACATGGCAACTGAAATCTGTGGAGATGTCGATGGGCTTGTCGTCGATGATGTGTCCGATGAATTCATCATTAGTTGGTGTTGTGATGAGGCTGTCGTTGAAATTGAATTTAAATACAATGGATTAAAACGGTTAGGCGTAGGAAACATAGGCGTTGCCATCGGCTTCTGGAGAACAGCTGCCGCTTGTCTATAGTATAGATCAAAGGGATGAGAGTTATTGCCAATAGATGTGGCCGGTGGTGGCTGTGCGGTAGTGGCCAACGATGCTGCGGCGGCTGCGTTCCCGTATTGGCTCAACCAATATGGCGATGTCTGTAGCATACGCTGGACGGCCGCGTAATTGCCCGCTTCGGCCAATAGCTCGAGTCCTACGGCTGTCTGACGTTTCCATTTAGTTCTGTATAAAATATATTAATAAATACATAAAAGTTTTAATAAAGATATGCCATTGCTTTCAAAATTAATGTTTTAAGTGTTAAAAGCAAAGTAAAGCATTTTCTTTGATGAATATAATTGACCATTCATTACACAATAACTATTGACTACAAAAGTAAAAAAGCAAAAATCAGATAACAATTGTGGTCATAATTTTGCAAAATTATCAATGAATGAGTGAACCATTGAACAAATGAATCAATGAATCAATGAATCAATGAATTCTGTCATTACAAGTGATTGTGGCATCAAATAAGTGCTCGTCTTATAACTTCAAACACATTTATGAGCTATACTTGATGTTTGCATCAATAGATATATAATAGACGATCCAATTGTCTAATAATGAATAAATAGGCGCCGATGTAGTCACTATCGGTCTGTCAGTGGTTTGGCTGCCATTTAAAGTGATACAAATCTCGCCAACAATTCACTACTTGTTGACAATTCAATGAAATGTTTTACTTTTACGCCTCAATTATTTGTTATAATAATAATTGTAATCATAATAATCATAATAAATACGAGAGAATCGACTAATTCAAGGTTTTTACATAATTGGTGCCACAAAAAAACACATTAAGTTTTGCTTTTTATTAGTATTATTATTTTTTTACTCAGAGATATGTTATGTGTTATCGAAAGCAAAATATTTCTCTTTTTTAATGTTATATCAAATGAAATGTTTGATCGCTTCACTGAATTTTCCCTAAATTATATGAATACATATAATACATATATATATATATTTATATATTAATCAAGTTTATTGTATTAGTTTTGTTATTTTGCTATCTATTAGTGAGTTTTTAGTGAATTATTATTTCACTGGTTGTTTAATTTGTATAATAGCTTTAAAGAGCAAAATGACTATAATTTTGTTTTCTCTTATTTATCTAATATATAAATCTTTTTTTTATTATAACTTAGAGTTAGACTAATATTTGTGCATAAAATCAATTCACTTATCTTACGGTTATAGAATTGCCTCCTTATTATTATTTTTTAAACCGTTTATATAAAAAATAGTCATATAGTATAACAAAAGTAAAGATAATAACAATAATTGTTACTTCAAAAACCATTTCTTAAGTAAATTACTATATTTTTAAAACACTTATATTTGTTATAAATAATAGATTTAAACTATAGTTTTACTGTCCTTTAGTTATTAGTACTGTATAACATTTAAAATTTATGATAATACAATACAATATATATATAATGTATATAATGTATATAATGTAATGTATATGTTTAACACAAAGTATATGTTTGTTTATAAAATTTGTAGATTTTTTTAAATATAGAAATTCATATTTTATATTAAAGAAAATTATTTGGTATAGTTTGATAAAATTAAATAATAACTGATAAAAATGATAACTATCCTGAATTATTATTATTATTATTATTATTATTACTACTACTACTACTACTACTACTACTACTACTACTACTTGCCTTCTGTTTTGATACCATGTCTTGACCTGAGTGTCCGTTAGATTCAATTTGGCCGCCAATTCCATCCTATCCTGAACTGAGAGGTATTTCTGTCGCTCAAAGCTTTTCTCCAAAGTCTATATACATTCAAATTGTTTTTAAAACAGAGAAAAAAAATAAAATTGTTGATTAAAATATTTATATATCATTAAAAATATGTAATTACATGTAATGATTGAAATGTGATTGAATTAAATTGGATATTAAATAACATATTTAGGTCAACATTAAGAGATTAAATAAATTTTAAAATTCTTCCTTCATTTTAATAATCAATAGTTTTGATTCATATAATAATGTATATACAGTATGATTACATATACACTCTTTGTATATAATAATATATTTAATGATTGCATTAATATATTAAAATAAAAGTAGTAGTAATAGTAATAAGCAGTAAATTAATGAAAAATAATAAGAAAAATAATCGATTAGATGTCAAAATAAATGAAGATTAAGTGGATATTGTTAGCTATAGATATAGTTAAAGTAAAATTCAAGCAATTTATTTGGTGTCTCACTTGCAACTGATGGTCAGTAAATGCAGTCCTGGCTTTCCTCTGCTTTTTCTGCATCTTCAACATCACATCATCCCTTTGATTGGCATTTGAGGTACTATTATGACCTATAGTTTGTTTAATATGAATAAAAGCAATTATGGTTACAATTGACTGTAATTTATTTTACTATTTTTTTAAATAAACATAAAATATAATAAAACTAATAGTAATAATAWAAAACATTTGAAAAGTGCAAACATTTTCTCAACATATTTAAGTTAAACAAAATGATTACACAATTAGTTGTATGTTTAAAAGTAATTTAATTCAAACAAATGAAATAACAATTGAATAGTTGTGAGCAATTATATTGACAATTAACGGCTCAGGTAGTTTTATTTACCTTTCAGGCATATATTTTTTAATACATATAATTTAATAAATATTGTGCACACAAATACTGGTTATTATCATTTAGAGTTAACTATTTGTTTAATCAGTTGTTAAACTAATATAATGCATACAATTTTATAAAATAATTATGATATATACTTTTGGTTTCATTTATTTTTAAACTTCAAGTACTGGGAGGAGGAGAAGCTCGTTTGGGGAGTAATAAAATAATTAAGGCTTAGAGTCCAACAAAAATCGATTTTAAATGGTTTTATTGCCCCATACACTGTAAAATTACTGATGAGTCCCAAARGTGTCTACAATGCAGAAGTCAATCTCTCACGGGTCCACTCAGGTATCTTTGACGACCTCAACCGTCCTTTCAGTTTCGTATACCTGTGCGGTGCATATGAAAAGGCAGCGCGCGATCGCCTTTTTTCGCGGCATAACTTTTAGCCGATAAAAGTCATATTATTACTAATTATTACTAACTATTAGTGCCCAACACGAGTGGCACTACTTAGCGATAATAACCATTTACTCTCTATATATATCTATTATAAGTATGGAATCTCAAGTAAATAACTATCAAATACCGATATCACCACAAATTGATCGGTTTTCTATACACACACATACAGTATATATAAGTAAGAATCACATAATAATCATTATAACAGTCATATTATCAATAAATAATTAATTCAATTGTTCGCATCTATTTGAACTACTTAACGCAAATTATCATTTTTAAATAACAATTTTATGTTAATATATCTTAAAATTTTAATTGTTGTTAAAATAATTATGTATAGAATTTCTAATTTACAATTATTAATATTCATTACTATATTAACAATTTGAATGCAATGTCAATTTTAAAAATAAATTTGTTTATAGCGTAATTATTAATTTATCATCAATTTATATATTTTAATTTTGATTAACATTAAAAACTTTAATTACTTTTAACTTATAAATTTCAATCAACTTTAATTTGTTAATAATTATAAAATAAATAAATATATTGCATATATATATAACATAAATATAATATAAACTATATTTTTATATTACATTAGTTATTTATCAAAATGTGATGTTTTAGTAATAAGATTATAATTACTTAATTTATACGATAATATTACGAGMAATTACTTAACAGATGTTATGCTTAAAACTAATTAATTCATTACTCATTAATTAATTTATAATTTATTACTTCATAAATGATAACTTATTTATGACCAATAATTTTCAATTGCAATAAAAAGCTTAACTAATACTTACTTTGAAGACCATCTCTAATGAGTGTATGGTTTGGTGTCAAATGAGATAATGCTGTTTCGTAGGGACTCATTGATGATAAACGATGTGATGAAAGACTGTATTTATTGTTCATATTTGGCGACAACGATGATGGAGACGGTGGGTATGTTATGGACGGCGATTCAGGCATCTCATGATCGACCGATTCAGATGTCGATCCGCTTTCATTGTGTTTATTATTAGAGTCACTATTAGCTCCCAGTAAACGACTGATACTGAATAACAATTTTGATGGTTTGTTTGAATTAACGGAACCGTTTGGATGCATAACAGGTGATGAAAGAAATTGTCGTTTTGGTGATTGTGACACATCTTCCTCATCATCGTTAGTGTCCATATTTGTTGCAATTATTTGAGACATATCTTTTGAACTTTATATATATATTTATACTATATATATATATATACTGTATATATATATATATATGTTTGTTTGTTTCAAATCACTATATATTTTGGATAATGCTTGAAAGATAACTGTTATATTAGTTTAAAAATAATATAACATTTTAAGCACACACTCACTCTAACACTGATACACATATACACCGAAACAATCGTTTAATTTATTAAATTTATGAAAAAGTTATGAAAGTAGCACTGATATGACAAACCACTTCTTTTGAATAAATAAGACTAAAAGTAAAATCTGTTTGCAAAGTGTATAGACATAAACCTCTCTTTTAGCGCTTTATGAGCTACTGTTGGACAGCCCTTTGGGTGCTTTTGTTGATATAAGGACAGCCTACTGAGGTGCGGCCTAATGTTCACTTCCAATAGGAATTTTGTTAAGCATCGGGAGCTAACACTTGAGAGCATTGTTTAAAGGTATAGCTTTGTTACATTAAGTGACATCTATTAAATGCAATCAATTAGCATAAACATCAATGTTATCATCAGTTATAGTGTTCAACTCCAAGAGCTCAACGTTTTATCAATAATTTTAAACATTACTGCTATATATAAGCATATAATAAAAGAAAACTACATTATATTTACTTTTAAAATATACTAAAGTTTTTTGTAGTTTTAATGTATTTTAAATGCATATATTAAATAAATTATTTCTAATGTAATAAATTTATTTTTGTATAACAAATGTTGATACAATAAAAATGAATTAATAGTTAAACTTTTATCTATTACTAGTCATATAAATTGCAAACTTAATTTATGTCCAGTTTATAGTGCATTGGGATTACTAGTAAACATGTCATTTGCAATTAAGCAATAAAATAATATAATTGAGAGTATTTAGAGAAAAGTAATTGATTAAAATTAATGCATTGCAAGTTCGGTGCCATATTTGGCTCCCAGTGCTCTGTGTTGTATGAATTTCATTACAAATAAATGTATTAAAAAAAATAAATCTTTAGAGTCATTAATGTAACAAAAATGAGAATAAATAAAAAAAAATTATATGTGATATGTCTGTTATGTAATGCATTTGATGACAAACACTACTGTTGTCTTAACTAACTTAATGACAGCGCATTCAGAGGCGTTGTTTAAAGTCAAAGGACAACTACTAAATCTGCTAAAAGCATAATATTATTGCTTATCTACTACTCTATCTATAATATAGTATTTTTCATTTATAATAAATACTTAATTTTCTTATTTATTATTTTTTGAATTGATCTTCAAACTCTCATAGTTTACATTATTGAAAACAAACTAATTATCGTTTTATTTAATGTGAACTTAGACTTTGCAGAGAAATAGATAATTGCTTTAAGAGAGAGAGAGAGAGAGAGAGAGAGAGAGAGAGAGAGAGAGAGAGAGAGAGAGAGAGAGAGAGAGGTGAATGTAATGAAGACCGAGATTGGATGATAGGGTGATTCTGGGGAACCTTATGTAGTGCTATGTAATGGTATAATCTAATGGTTTGGGCGACGCAACTGTTAATGAGTTGCTTGAGTGAGATCTGAGTGCCCGTAATGAGAGAGAAATAGAGAGTTAATGAAAGTCACAACAACTGCTAATTGAGTTCATTATATGGTAAGTGAAGTTTGCTAAAGAAGTAATCAAGTAATCAAACTATATATATATATATATTATAATATATATACATATATTGTTTGTATATAAATGTATACATTAAACAAATCTAATGATTGCAGTCTTAAAATGTGTTAATCGACACTCATTTCCTCCCCTTTTAATTCGCTCTTAAAATTGGTGCCATTTTCTTCATAACATATAATTTACACTTATATTTGATAAATACATGTTTTGAAAAATGCATTTTACATTCATTTTTCAAACATTATTATTATTTTATTAATTCATAAGTTGTCTATAAGGAAGTCATATAAAAAAAAATTAGTTAAATGAAAGCGTCAATTCATTAGCAATAATTTAACTACAAATTAGATTATATAAAATTGCATAACATTTTTGAAGGTTTAATCAACAATTATGTATTTTATATAAATTATATATGTATTAGATTTAAATATAAAATAAATTATTTAATAGTTTTTATATTAAGTGTGACATTAATTTAAATAAATTTTAATCTGGATTTTTCGATTATAATGACTTATATTAATTTATCTATTTATTGACCCACTAATTTTAATGATCACATTTTAAATTATAATAATTTATATAGAGTGCATAAGTTTGCAATATAAAGCATATATGCATATTATGAGACTAATTGAACGCATGGTTAGGCATTGGATTGCTCCGGGTCATTTTTACTATAACATAATAGATCTAATTTTGGTTAAGACCCATAACAATAAAAATTTGTTTTGTAAATTACAAACAAATATAAACATYATTTAAAAAAAATCTAAATGAATTGCAAACTTCTTATTAATTTTTAAAATGCAATAAAATTTATTACATTAAATAAGTTATTATTTGTTGCGATGATATCGGTGGGGGGTTTGTCCTACTATTGTCTGTAACTATGGGTCCGAAACTCTTCAGGTTTTTTAAGGTGGAGTAATACTAGTAGTGAAAGAGTGGGTATTTCTGAAAGTGAAGACAATATGATGTTTGTGTGCACTTCTAGTCTTTATGAATGTCAAACTTGTTTGGTGTGTATTATTAAATGTTGAGCACATATATTGATAATTGTTGAGCACAAACATTAGACAATTGTGTTTATGGTGTGTATTTGGTGTCTCATCTCGTGCCACAAAGCAATTATCAAAACAGCGCTTAGTTTTCCGGTAACCGCATATACAGTGCACGGGTGGGGCCTTTAATTCAGTTTCCTGTGTATATTTACACTGTATATGAGCGCTGCCTGTGCCCGATCACCATAACCCGTAGTGAGAGTATGAGAGAGAGAGAGAGAGAGAGAGAGAGAGAGAGAGAGAGAGAGAGAGAGAGAGAGAGAGAGAGAGAGAGAGAGAGAGTATCAGTGCTGATATTGTCAAAGCCGGTACACATAAGCAAAGTCTTGATTGTGTTGTCTGTGTGGCACTCAATAGACAGGATGAGAGACACTGTGACAATCAATTTATAGACACAGAGATTGAGATTTTTGGTTGCTATTAGTGAATAGCTATTAGACATTATTTAATTGACTGACACTCAGTGACTGGAGTCAAGTCATGCACTTACCGGTTAAATAATAGTCACAACACATACACACATATACTCCAAACAATTGCATGTAATGACACACAAAACACTAATTTTAAATCATTATTTCAAATAAAATAACATAACAATAGAAATAATAATTTCAATGCCTTTCTATTGAATAATTTAAACCATTCATTATATTGATTACGAAAATCACCATGTGAATTTTAAATTGCACCAAATAACACAATATTCAAATATATATTCAATTTTTTAAACACATTTAATAATAACAAATAACAATATTTATATTTTATTATAAGTTTAAAATGTTGTATATTTGAATGAACATCTATTGTTTTTACTATTATAAATAAAACAATATTATATTGTAGTCTATAAAATATTTAATTTATATATTTTATGGTCTTTAGTCTCTTAGCTATATTATTATCAATATAAAAATTTTTAATTTATTTTTTGTTGTAAAAGCTTTACAAATTTTCTATACAATATATAAATAATAATAACAATAATTTTAAATAATTTAATATTTTTAAGTGTATTATTTTGATTATAATTTTATAAATATCTGTATTACTATTTCACTTTATTTTTACTATACGTAAAATATATAAAATAAATTTATACATATACTATACTACTGTATCTGCTTTTATTTTATTTTATTAAAATATTCAATTTACGATTATAAAATATAATGGTGCTTTTAGTTTAATATATTAAATGTAATTATTAAGAAATAATAATTAACAAAAAATATAAATACTTAAATTGTAATATATGTTAATCATTAAAATATTTTTTGTTTGATATTTGATCTGTTTTTTAAATAATAATTAGTATATTTTTGTAAACAATAAAATCAAATTAGTTTTAGTTATTTTTTTTGTATTTATCGCAAAATTTGCAACATTTGACAAAAAACTTTATCATTTGTGTTGATTGAGACAAACAGCAAATTTGGTCCAACAAATTAATGATTAGTTATTATCTTTTTAAAAAAACTAAGTAGTAATTTGAAAGACAATAATTTTATTGAAATTAGACTCAAAACTAAATCAAATGATATACTAAAAAGTAAGGTATTGTATGGAATGGTATGATTAAGAACAGGAAGAGATCGACTTAAGAGAGACTCCCAAAACTTTTTCTAATCGACACAATATATACACAATCTGTATGTGTATTGTGTTTAACTATAAGTTAAGTAATAATAATAATAATAAGACATCAATAGTATGATATTGAGTTAGCGGTTGGTTGAACACCAATTGGTTGATGATTTGCAACAATAAATATTTGCCAAAAATTTAGTCATTTATGTTAAATAAGTACTATAAGTGGATTACATATTAGAGAAAATAGTGTATAAGGTATATGTGATTATATGAAATATAATTATTTAAAATGACCATTAGTTCAAAAAGGGTCGACCATTAGAGTAGTTCAATAAAATTATAGTCATTAAAAACATTGAATGCATTGATGAGAAGTCTGTGATGATCTCAATAGAGATGTATTGGTCGGTCAAATATGACACCACATGTGTGTCTCATTTCGCCCACTAATGTTGTAATGGAGGTACTAATGGTGTCATTTGCATCACAAAACAAATATACAGTATATACTGTACTATAATACAGGCAGGCATACTGT